CCTTATCTGACAACATTTCAGTTTCTACCTCAGAGATAGAATACGTGAGAGTACCCTTTCCGGTGAAAGTTGGGATGTATTTCAAGAAGAAGGTTTGGGCTTGCGACGTGAAGGCCAAACAATGGTTGGGTCCATGTGGGTCTTGTCGAAGGTTAATTTTGTGATTGAACAGCTCCTTCAGAATGACGCAAGCCATGTACCTCTTATCACAACCATCTTATACACTATCTTATTATATCTAATTGTATTTCCTTTGTACGATTTGTATGCCGACTTGCGGCCTGCCGACCTGAGAATAGTTACGAAATCAACTCTCTATGTCAGTAATGCGTTTATTATAGTCAATGAGTATATATTAGCCATCATCCTAGTGGAATTAATAAGGCAGCTTCTAAATAGAAAGTACCAAGACAGAACAGTGACCCCTTTCAGTACTGTCTCCGCAAATATACTTCCCATGGCGGTGGGTTGAAATCGCTAACGAGGTCGAAAGATGTTATTTCGCATGTTTGTGCCTGGCACTCCCAATTGGTCGAGAGTACCCATATATCCGTTGACGATCCTTTCCAATGAAGAAAAACTCTACGAAGAGCGGGGAATAGTTCAGAGACTTGATGAAGACCTCCCTGAAAGATGAGATTGTATTGTTCTCTTTTTAAATTCCATGTATAGTCGAATGCTGCATCGAGCGACACAAGCCGTTCCAACGCTTTGAGTTGGCTGAGAGCACGTAAAAGTTCATTGAGCAGCTCCTTGAGAGAATTCAGTTATCGAATACAACGTATACAGTTCGATGACGTACAGAGCTTGTTGTTGAGTTCAGTAAGAATGTCCCAATATGCTGAAGGTTTCGGAATGGATGAGGGGCTTTTGCTATAGTTCTGAACAACAAGTGAGAATCATATTGAGTCAAAAGCACACTCATGTGCGAGATTTGGCATCGAAGGCTACTCAAGTCTTCGTATTTCAATGACGGCAGAGATGACCAGTCCGTGCTCAATCGAGTAATTTGTCGGTGTCGTAGTAATAAATAATGGAGAGCCTGACCAGTATAGTGGAGATGTCGTACATCCGGTATTATTTCTATGTTTGCGATGAACGGTTCCAAAGCCTCTGGACTGATGCGTCGGGCCGCACCACTATGCCACCCGAGGGCAGTGACCGATTTCATACAAGGTGCAACGAGGTGCTTTACCACATCCTCACTGGTTGCATGGTGCATTTCTGAACAGACACAATGGAGATTAATTTCTTGTAGAGACCTTGTTCCAAGAGTAAGGAGATATCGA